TATGTTGACCCTTTTTTGGCAGGCCATTTGTATTTTCGGTAATAAATCCTTCAGATAAGAGGGATGAACTGAGTTTGAAAGAGTTTACTATCATTAAAACTGTAACTAAGGTTAGTACCAACAACTGTAAACTGATACAGTATGCCTGTTTGCATATAAAAATGATACTACTGTGGCTTCTATACAATTTTAAACTTTAGGAAACTGAAAATCAAATAGAAAATCACCAAAAGGGAGGCTAACAGGCACACACACTGATCTGGCAGGAAGTTCCAGATTTATCTGCATGTTCACATTTAAACAATATGAAAATTTGAAAAAATGGAAAAAAAACTGCACTATTTACAACTATAACAACTACATTAGTGTTCACTAACAAATATTTCACAATATGCTTTGTATGTTGTACATTGTTAATGTAATACAGAAAATATATAATCAAAGAAGACTTATGGGAGGTACATTCTTTATAGGAAACAAAATGGCAACAAATTGACAACATAATTATTATATTTTATTTCATTCACTTATTACTGCTGGATGCAATATTCTGCTACATGATACTGTTTATATTTTGTGCAAATCTGCCAACAGCAAAAATGAAATAACTCCCAAACATAGACATATCATTCAGTAAATTGTATTTCTGTCTTGTTTAGTATGGTTTTTCTTTGTTTCTTTGTGCAGAAAAACGAATATGCTACGACACTCAAGCAGTTTTCTTCACAAGAAATGATTCAGTGTAATGTGCAATTTTTTTTAAATGGATAAAATGGTCATATAAATATAATAAGCGATTAAACCTTCCACCCCGAGAATGCTAAAAACAAAATGGAATTTTAACCGAGGGAATTTCCAGAACAAAAAAACATTTAAACTACTATTTTACACATGCAGCTAATATATTAGTTAGAAATGTATTTTCTACATTGTTTTGAACTAAAAAAGATATATAAAGAGAGCATCCAATAAACTAGAACAGAGTGAAGCATTAAATGGAATGCATTCCCCAAGGCCTACAATAAATATGTATCAGGTGACTCATGCAGTGACCTCATGACCTCTACCACTGAGGCTTAGGGGGATAATATAAATCAATCTGGCTTTTAAAAAAGCTATTGAATTTACAAGGAAACCTCTATAAATGCTATATTTAGTTAATAAATTCATATCTGGACCTAAACACTACTAGGGTGCACACAAAACCACAGGCATTTAACTGCCCTTTTCAAAAACAGCACTGCAGAAATGGCACAATGTCTGCATTTACAGGTCTGGAAGTGACTAGATCTAGCCTTCTGGTTCAATGGAGTTAAAAAGGAGAGCAGGTTGACTTCACTGGACCATTTTAATTTTTAGCTACAAGACTTGTCTTCCTTCTCCTCTCGCTCTCTCTCTCTCTCCATCTCCACAGAGCAGCTAGCCACCTGCCAAAAGTGCTGCACAAAGCATGATTGATGCCGTTCAGATGGTGATAGCCAAAGATCTATCAAAAACTGGGGCTCATAAACTAAACTGCACAGTCCTTAAACGAAATCACAACCTGCAGAATGAGAGACAAATGGCTTAACCATTTTAACTGCTGGGAGCTTATTTTATTGTGTTCTGCCAATGAACTATAGCTCTCTTCCTCCTATTTCTTAGCTCACTCTTTATACTTCTTTCTCTCCGTGTTCATTAGCTGTAAATTCCGGCAGAACATTCTTGTCGCTGATCTACTTCTGGTTTTTTGTCTTGTTCCAAAATGAGTTTAGCACACACATCCATTTGTATAGATCTGGTTTACTTATGTGTATGCAGACTGCTGGTTCCTCACCTCTCAGGCAGATGCACTCTAACCCCAAAGAAAACTCCTAATTAGTCAACTGTTATGCCATACTTGTTAGGGATGCAGTGGGTCTATTCTTGTTTTCCCCATAATGGGACCCTGGAACCCACAGTGGAAATATACTGACCAAGAATTATTAGAAAGATCACACACACCGCCAATGCTTAGGACACACAGGGAAAAGTCAATCCCACATGACACAGTTGAAAGAGTTGAGGTATAAAATTTCAGCAGCAACAATAAACCTCATTGCATGACTCAATGTGCACATTTACAATTTTCAAAAGGGACCAAGTTTCTATTGTGACAGTTCAGTGAAAAATGCAGCATGGCTGCAACTACAAGCATAGGACATCATTAAGTTTACCCTTCTGAAATGCCGTGAACCTAATTAAGCCTAGGGTTACAGGAAGACGGTTGAAATAAAACTTACAGTAAGACAGCTTATAAAAGATAATAAAAGAATAGTCTATGACAGCAGTTACAAACCAGTGCTCTGCGGAGCCCTAACAGGCATGTGTTCACTTTCCGGAAACTTTGCAGCCACTTCAGGAAATATTTTAAAATATTAAGAGTTCTTAAAATATAATTTTACTGCACAGACATTGCACAACTGTTTCAATATCTCTTTACTGTATATCACATTACTATCCAACTCCTCTTTCTCCTCCTCAAAACACTTCTCTTAAAATTATTAATTTGTAAAACATAGTGTATAGTAGGCCTTAAGGGCTTCACCAAAGTAATTGATTTTGAAAAGAGCTACACAAGTCAAAAAAGTTGGGAACCGCTGCCCTATGGCTCACTTGGACAGAATATAAAGTTGGAGAAAAACATACATAAAAAAGGGAGTTTAGAGCTAACAGAAAAGACTTCCCTGAACCAGGTTTTATCTCATATGGCTCAGGTTCCTGGACAGAACTGCTGCAATAGCTTGAACACTGTAGCTCCAGCAAAGACCTCTAGGAATCTTAACATCTTAACTCACAAACTGAAGGACTAAGTCCAAAATCAAATCTAAGCCTTTTTAGTGCTGAAATTTTGGTCACAGGCGTGATGGAAAGTTAAGTCTGTTGTGATGTGTAAATGGAGATACTCCGTACCTGACCTTGAGCGCCAGCAGACTGTGTTGGTTTTATGGATCCTCATGCAAGACTCCTGCCATATGTCCTCGTCGTGTGCTATAGATAATGGCTCATATAAACCTGAACCGAGCTAGTAGGGGATCTCAGAGTTGGCGGCCCCCCAGAGATTGAGTATCCAGAAATCCTCTCTTGCTTTTATCAGCCAACCTATGATGCATGGATGATGATGTCTATCAAAAATTCAGCTGGAACATGAGTGAAGCTTGGTGGGGTCACTTGGACGAATGAAAAGATGAAGAAACCCAAACTGTCAGAACATAAAGCAACTGGCTTAATTACTTCACCATCAGATATAATTAACTTTGAAATATTTTTTTTAAACGGCCATCACTGCCGGTATTGACCCCATTTGCAGTGCAGGCAGAAGGGAGAGGGGATCTCCGAGCTTGAAGATTTAGGCAGCATGACTGATGCAGCCACCACAGACTGTGTAGGTTAGGATTTTACTTTTGGCCTCGACAGAAAAAAAAAACACCACAACCTTACCAGGGATGTGAACCTGGGTCTCCTGTCTGTGAGTACTGTGTTCTTAACCATTAGGCCAGCCACTCCTCAACTTTTAAGTAAACACAACTGGACAGAATGTGAACAACACAAATGGATAAACATGACAAACTCAACAATTTTTACATTTTTTTACAGCCTATATGTAACATGAAAAATGAGAAACTAAAGGGTCTAATCATGAAATGAGGGTATTTCACTTTGAACTGAAGGATGGAGTCTGAAATCAAACCAAATTTTCAGAGCATGAGGCAAATGGTTTAACCCCTTCACCACAGAGAAATAATTCATTTTCAAGTAACCCAACAATCTGACAGGATGCAAACACAAGGAAGAACAGACAGTATAAAATTAACAATTTTTAACAGGGTTTTTACAGGCTATATGTAACACACACACAAAACAAGAAGTTAAATGTATAATCATGAAGTGGTGATGCTGTACTTCAAACTCAAATTCACACAGAATGTAAAATACAAAGAACATTTGACAGTAAAAACAAATTTTTACATGGTTTTTACAGGGTAATTGTAACACACAAAAACAAGAAACTAAAGGGCACAATCACGAAACGGTGATGCTGCACTTCGAATTAAAGGACAGCGTCAGAAATAAAACACAAACAGAAAGTAAAACACACAAAAACAATGGACAGGAAAAACAAATGGTTTTTACAGCCTTAATGTAACATGAACAACGAGAAACTCAAGGGTGTAATCATGAACTGGTGATAGCTGTAAATATGAGGCTTGATTGACTTCCGAACCAGACTAGTCACACAAAATAGTCCTGCCTCTGCTGGAGTTTAAACCCGGATCACTGAGTTGGCAAGCATGACCTCTGGCTTAAACACAATGGAAGCAGGTCTAGAGGTCGACCACGCAAGAGATGGATAGATGGAATATCCCAGGCCATGAATACCAGCAACTACCGTAGCACATATGAAGGCTTGCACTGAATGCCTTTTCAGATCCTGAAGTTGAAAAGCAGAACAGAACTACAGGAGGAGGCATGCAGAATAGCATTTTTTAAAATCTCCTGCTGAAAATAGTTTTTTTTTTTTTAGTGAGAAATACTGAAAATTAATTAGGACATTATGAACTAGTTAGTATAAACTAACAAGTTCTAAAGAAGTACACACAATAAATGAGAACTGGACAATACAGGACAATGAAGAAGCAATCAGAAAGTCAAACTTAGGCCATGAAGATGTAAATATACAAAATTTAAAAAAGTTACATTTAAGGGGAATAAAATCAATCAATTGCAGAGATTTTGGAGAGACGGAATGAAAAGGCAGTTACTCAGGCTAATAGAATATTTCATAAAAAGCAGGATTCTTTTCCACATGAAATTCTGGCTTAATAACTTGTGCACCTCTTAGCAGTCCTCTTTTGTGTCATAAAATAAGTTTACTGTTAAAAAGTAGGGAAGAAAATTTAAAAACTGAGTCACAGAGTTTCCTTGATTGAGGTACAAAATCAACAACGTTAATACTCAAAATTATTAACAAATGAAAGCCTTCATGACATGTCTGCAGCACCTTCTGGGACTTGTTTCATTCGTTTCTTCAGCAAAGGATTGTTGGACTGGTTCAAGTTTTTAATGTTCACTACCTGATCATAGTCAACTCTCATGGTTGCCAGTGCATTTGTCATTTCCTCCTGCAAACAAGAACAGGGATAGCACAAATTAGCATTTGGCCACCACTAATAATGTACTAGCACAGTAATTAATAGGGCTGAAGGAAATATGGCAGGCCAAAATAAAACTAAAAGACACAGAGATGGGGTTTAGTGTAGAGTAACCAAGAGGGGAAAGCAAAAAAGTGTGACTTACTATTATTTTAAGTTACAGCAATTAAATGTCACTGCACATCTGGTTGCATTGCCAGGTGTGCTCAATCATCTGATACAGCAGCCTCCCCCCCACCCCCCAAGGTACCTTTACTGATTGTTCCCTTGAGAGATTTAATGTGAGTTAGTCGAAATTCTAAGTTTCACTTCAGGTTCAGTCATCAAAAGCAGCAAGTTTTTTTTTCTAACTGACACAACTCTGAAGTCCACCTCATTTTTTTTTTAAATGGTGGTGGGGGGGGGGGGGGGGGGGAATTGAGGGGGGTAGAGATACCAGACAACTTCCAGAATTATCAAGGAATATATATAGGAAGGAAAGGCACCATTCCTTGTCCTCAATGTCTGTTTTCCACCTACTTCTCTAATTCTCTTCTCCTTGTCTTTTTGGTCTGCCTTTTGTGGTTTCTTTGCGGAAAAGTCCAGATGGACTTACAACCTCACAGCTGCTGGTACCATTGGAACTGTAACTCTGTGCTGGCTGCTGAAGATGGGGGTGCAGCAATTTTGGGAATGTCTTGAGCGCTCTGAAGTCAGTTCTTATGTCAAACTGTAGTTTCACTGGTCACAGAATTCTTTTTTTTTTTTACAGTATAACCGTTGCTTCAACCCAGATGCCTGTCAGAATGTGGTTCTGTGGTTCCAGTTGTCATGTAATACTTAAATTTTCAATGTAGCAAGGGGGCTGCGTGGTCTCGGGATATGGTGTCCGCCTTGAATGCCAAGCCCCAGTGAATGCTGGTATTTTTTCACATGGATTTTAAGTAATTTCCCCTGGTTTTGGGTAGTAAGACCTGACTCCAGTGTGTACTGTTGCGCACGTAAAAAATCCCTTGGCGGTAGGAAATCGAAAAGAGTAGCCTGACGGGCAAACTTGGAGTTAAAAATCTACCCCCAAAAATTTTTTATTTTAGCATCCTCGCCAGGTGCAACAGAGTTTGTGCACTGTGCTGAGATTCTTCAGACTCAGGCTTAAGTTAGAAGAAGAACGGAGCACTTATGGGTTACAGCGGTGTGCTATGAAGTTGATCCGTTGAATAAACAAACAAACAGTGTAGCAGTTACACCAATTCAGATATTTGGCCTGAGGTGGCTTTGTTTCACTGGCCATATTTCTTCTGCCAAAAGTGCAAACTACTGCCTTTATTATACCTTTTGCGGTGCAGGCGCGGGGGACAGCCTAATGAGCCTAATGATTTACAGCCACATGGCTAGTGGTGTCGCCACAGCTGTCTAGGTGAGGCTTTCATTTTGCCCCCATCAGACAAAAATCATCAGCCTTACCGAGGATTCGAACCCGGGTCTCCCATATTTCTTTTGTAGTTAAGCTTAAAAGAAAGCTAGCTTGCTAGATGTGTTATAGTATTGTTGTTTGTCCCCCTTAATTTGGGGGCCCAGGAACCCACACAGGTACCGCCATAGATTTAGGAGCCCAAAACACTTAGTACCTGACCATAAATTTAGGAGCCCAGGAGGGGTGTACCTGACCATAAATTTAGGAGCCCAGGAACCCACACAAGGTACCTGACCATAAATTTAGGAGCCCAGGAACCCACACCAGGTGCCTGACCATAAATTTAGGAGCCCAGGAACCCACACCAGGTACCTGACCATAAATTTAGGAGCCCAGGAACCCACACAAGGTACCTGACCATAAATTTGGGGTACCAGGAACCCACACAAGGTACCTGACCATAAATTTGGAGGCCCAGGAACCCACACAAGGTACCTGACCATAAATTTGTCCTTTATATGTTATAACACTATCATCTGAAAAGAAGGAGAGGTGCCAATTGTATATGTTATTACGTAACAGTGGCTTCAGTTCAAATGCTACACATAATGTGGTTATTTCATTGGTCAAGTAATACTCAATCTTCTTAAAAATTGTAAAACCTATCAGTGCCATCATCAGATGCCAGGTTCTAGACTGTAATGATTGTTTCATCAGTTTCTCACCTCCGGTCACCTAAAGATTTACCACACCATGCCAGGTTCTAGACTGTAATGATTGTTTCATCAGTTTCTCGCCTCCGGTCACCTAAAGATTTACCACACCATGCCAGGTTCTAGACTGTAATGATTGTTTCATCAGTTTCTCGCCTCCGGTCACCTAAAGATTTACCACACCATGCCAGATTCTAGACTGTAATGATTGTTTCATCAGTTTCTCGCCTCCGGTCACCTAAAGATTTACCACACCATGCCAGGTTCTAGACTGTAATGATTGTTTCATCAGTTTCTCACCTCCGGTCACCTAAAGATTTACCACACCATGCCAGGTTCTAGACTGTAATGATTGTTTCATCAGTTTCTCGCCTCCGGTCACCTAAAGATTTACCACACCATGCCAGGTTCTAGACTGTAATGATTGTTTGTTTCTCACCTCCGGTCACCTAAAGATTTACCACACCATGCCAGATTCTAGACTGTAATGATTGTTTCATCAGTTTCTCGCCTCCGGTCACCTAAAGATTTACCACACCATGCCAGATTCTAGACTGTAATGATTGTTTGTTTCTCACCTCCGGTCACCTAAAGATTTACCACACCATGCCAGATTCTAGACTGTAATGATTGTTTCATCAGTTTCTCGCCTCCGGTCACCTAAAGATTTACCACACCATGCCAGATTCTAGACTGTAATGATTGTTTCATCAGTTTCTCGCCTCCGGTCACCTAAAGATTTACCACACCATGCCAGATTCTAGACTGTAATGATTGTGTTCATCAGTTTCTCGCCTCCGGTCACCTAAAGATTTACCACACCATGCCAGATTCTAGACTGTAATTATTGTTTCATCAGTTTCTCGCCTCCGGTCACCTAAAGATTTACCACACCATGCCAGATTCTAGACTGTAATGATTGTTTCATCAGTTTCTCGCCTCCGGTCACCTAAAGATTTACCACACCATGCCAGATTCTAGACTGTAATGATTGTTTTCATCAGTTTTTCTCGCCTCCGGTCACCTAAAGATTTACCACACCATGCCAGATTCTAGACTGTAATGATTGTTTCATCAGTTTCTCGCCTCCGGTCACCTAAAGATTTACCACACCATGCCAGGTTCTAGACTGTAATGATTGTTTCATCAGTTTCTCGCCTCCGGTCACCTAAAGATTTACCACACCATGCCAGATTCTAGACTGTAATGATTGTTTCATCAGTTTCTCGCCTCCGGTCACCTAAAGATTTACCACACCATGCCAGATTCTAGACTGTAATGATTGTTTCATCAGTTTCTCGCCTCCGGTCACCTAAAGATTTACCACACCAAGCTGAGATTTAAAGATCTCAATCTGGATGACAAATCAAAAGACAGACCCCAGATTTCCCATTCAACTTTTAAAGAAGTTCTAACCCTGGGAAGTAAAAGCAGCCAGCAGGATGCTAACCATATCATTCATAAAGTGCCGATAGATCTATACAACTATAGATATGGCACTGTGCCTGAGGCACCAACAAAGTTGTGCAAAGTATCCTTTACTTACCTTCAGCAGAAATGCAGGGCACATTGGGGTGTTCCAGTTTCATCAGTGACACAATACTTACGTTTTATAGTTTAACACTGGCAACTGTTCATATGCTAGGTTTGAGATGATACTGATTGTCCCTTTAGCCTTGACATGCCAAAAACCTGGTACTTCCGGTTGGATACAATTCATAGTAGATGCCAGATATGCCGCTTATCCAGCATTTTTAAAGTGATTTATGATATGCTAAGTTGTTATAACTGGTTGTTTTTTAAACTGAGCAGAATTTAGGAGGTCAGAAAAAATTAATTTACCAGAAAAAAGTAGCATCTAGGCGAAATTTAAACTATATACACAAGTTCACTGTTTACAAAAAAAAAAAAATTTTCTGAGCTGTGTTAAATAGATGTTTATTAAAGAAATTTGTCTGGAATTATCGGGCTCAAGATCCCTCCACTTCTTTCCCCTTCTGTTTGACGTCTCCAAGGTGACAGGGTTTATCCACTAAGAAATTCTCTAGCTATAACTCATTAATTATGTAAAATGACTCTTACCACTGAAGAACAACCTGACATACCAGTCTCTTGTCAACAGAAGAAGAGAATGATCAAATCAATCAGAATGCCACCGAAACTGGCACAAGATGATTACCATATTATGGACAGACCAGAGCAAGTTATTATCCTTCGCCTTAGAACAGGGCACAATAGGCTTCGCTCCCACATGTACAACAAATTTAAGATTGGCCAATCGGCCATGTGTACTTGTGGACTGGCACCTGAAACAACAGATCACATCCTTCAAGACTGTCCCATATTCAACGCTTTCAGGCAAAACATTTGGCCAAAAGAGACACTTGTGGAAGTCAAACTTTACGGGCCGCTTAGTGAATTACAAAAGACAGTGAAATTCATACAAGAGACGGCTTTGCAGATATAAATTTATTTCATGCGAACGAAAGAAGAAGAAGAAGACTCTTACCTGAACTTCCATCCATACATCTTCCTCTTGTTTTAAAACGTGCGCAGACATCAGGGGTGTTTGTGGCACGAAAGTGTTGACCTGAAAAATGAACAAAAGTTACTGAGATATAGGTAATCTCGACAATAAAGTAGTTCAGTCTGTGTTTAAAAAACAGAAAATACTGAGGGTGCTTGAATCAGAGGTCAAAAGATGGAGAATCACTTGGGCGTGTTGGTACAGTGGCATAGAAGATCCTCAAGAATGCTGAGAATAGATGTTTGTGGCGGAAAGTGATAGTCCTTTGATTATTATCGACAGGACATCTGTGCCAGTGTGGAATCATTCACTGAGAACCCCCCCCCCCCCCCCCCCCCTCCAAATAAATTAAATTAACATGTCAAAAACAAAATAAAATGCATATAGAATATGTGAGAACAATATATAAACAAAATTTATAAGGTACTGCAAGACAACAATTTTTTTTCGCGTTCACCAGCTGTAAATTCCGGCGGAAAGTCCTGGATATTCATCCACCTGCGGATTTTAGTCTTGTTCCAGAACCTGTTTTGCGTGTACATCACATCGGCTTTACAAATCTGACATCTGTATACAGACTGTAGGTTCCGTGCCTCTCAGGCAGAGGCACTCTGACTTGGAAGGAAAGCCCCCAGTTAGTCGATTCTTACGACACAACATGCTTGTTGAGCAGTCAGTCTGTCTATTCTTGTTTTCCCCACAACAGGGCTCCGGAACCCATACAGGTAAGACAACCAATGATTCCTGAACACTAGTCTACTATTGGTAGACTAAATTACCCCCCCCCCCCCCTTTTTTTTATTTCTGTGTAATGTGCATGCGTGCATACATGCATGTGTTAACACACAACTTTCCATATTATTTTTAAAAAGCATTTCTTCTTCAGCATTCTGAGCCCTTGGGGTTCAATGCTGCAGTTATCACCCACCTCCATTCATGTCTCTGGTTACCTTCTCTTTCCTGTTAGTGACACCAAGTGTTTGCAGGTCTGTCTGGACATTATCTCTCCATCATTTTCTTGGTCTGCCTCGTGGTCTATGACCATTCATCTCCCTTGTGTATACAGTTTTCACTTCTCTGTCACCTGAAATTCTCTCAATATGCCCCAACCATTTCAGTCTATTAGCTCTCATGATGCCAGTGATCAGTGGTGATTTACACAGATTATGAATTTCGTCCCAAAAAAAGCATGACATTTGAAAAAATACTCACTGAAACCCATTTGTTCTGCATAACTTGTTCAATGGTTAGTCTCTTGTCTGGATCTGTGTGTAGCAATCCTTTTATCAAATCTTTAGCTGTGAAAGAAAAAATAACTCTTACTGCACAACAAGAATTTATGAATACTATTTTACACCAGGATACCTGGCTGTCATTCCTGTAGTCACAGATTTGAACACATAACACAGAACAAAAAAGAGGGGGGGGGGGGGGGTTAATATGACCTTGGCTGGAGGTTGATCCTGCCAAACAATTTATTCATATCATGTCCTGTTGTGCCATTATATGACCACCACCGCCTCACAATAAATGGGGTTCATACAAGAGACAACACTGCAGATATAGTAATCTATTTCAAGTGAACAAAAGAAGAAGAAGAATAAGTAAAGTAAAAAAGTCAAGGTCCCTTTACATGCCACTGGTGCACTGGGCAAATGAGGTTGTTCTCATATTTTATAGACCAGTCAGCCCTCGATGGGTGATATGGCCAACAGCATACCGGACGGATAACCAGCTAAATTCTCTGTGTGGGTTCTGGGGTCCCACTGTGAGGAAAACAAAAATAGACCCAACAAGCATGTCGTAGGAGTAAACTAATTGGGGAATTCCTTCATGTGTGATTGTTCAGTTTCCTGTGTGGGTTCTGGGGTCCCACTGTGAGGAAAACAAAAATAGACCCAACAAGCATGTCGTAGGAGTAAACTAATTGGGGAATTCCTTCATGTGTGATTGTTCAGTTTCCTGTGTGGGTTCTGGGGTCCCACTGTGAGGAAAACAAAAATAGACCCAACAAGCATGTCGTAGGAGTAAACTAATTGGGGAATTCCTTCATGTGTGATTGTTCAGTTTCCTGTGTGGGTTCTGGGGTCCCACTGTGAGGAAAACAAAAATAGACCCAACAAGCATGTCGTAGGAGTAAACTAATTGGGGACTTCCTTCATGTGTGATTGTTCAGTTTCCTGTGTGGGTTCAGGGGCCCCCACTGTGGGGGAAAACAAGAATAGACCCACTGCCTCCCTAACAAGCATGTCGTAGGAGTAAACTAATTGGGGAATTCCTTCATGTGTGATTGTTCAGTTTCCTGTGTGGGTTCAGGGGCTCCCACTGTGGGGGAAAACAAGAATAGACCCACTGCCTTCTCAACAAGCATGCTGTAGAAGTTGAATAATTGGTAGCTTCCTTCGAAGTCAGACTGCATCCGCCTGAGCAGCAAGGAACAACCAATTGCACATAAATAAGCTAGTAAAAAGGATGTACATGCAAAACTCAGGCCCTAGCACAAAGCCAAAGTCCAAATGGACAAACAGCCAGGTCTTTCCAACGGAGCTTACAGCTGGTAAACAAAGAAGAAGAATTGCCAAATAAAAATAGCAAATGCTGAACTGGTCATGAGTCATGGTAGAATTATTTCCGTAGCAAAGCGCCGTCGTTATTTGGAGCAACAGTTGTGAGTCTTGGTATGGTAATTAGAGTTTTCGATTTAATGTGTTGTCTAGTGTGTCCTCAATCTCTATTTCTTTCAAAGAGTACCGATCAATGAAGGTAATCTGTTTATCAACATGAATACAAAAAGTTTTTTTGAAAAACTAAGCAGTCTATATACATCTTGTTCTTCTTTTGTCCTCTCAGTGATACTAGGCTGTAGCCCAGTCTCACGGTTTTGTCATCTCACTGATACCAGGCTGTAGCCCAGTGTTGTGGTTATCTGTATTTCTCTTGCGCTTCTTAGGTGATGGATTTGTTCACTTTTTTGCAGGTTTTGGCCACACTATTTATCCATCTCTTTCTTGGTCTTCCTCTCGCCTTCCTCCCAGATGTTCTGCTGTAAAATGTCTCATATGCAGTTTTACCTGGCTGCATTCTCACTAGATGGCTGAACCATTTAATTCTTTGTCTGTCAATATAATCCAAACATGGTCGTATTTTAACTTTCCCTCTAATGCTGGTATTCGTAACCCTGTCTCTTCTTGTGTTAGTGACCTTGCGGAGACAGCGCATTTAAAATGCAGTTATTTTCTGTTTTACTGCCCTATTCATTGTCCATGTTTGGCAGTCTCAAAAAGAAAAAAAAAATTAAATGTAGGTGAAACTAAAATAAGAAATAAAAATGCAAGCAATACCTGAATTACTAACTCGGCTCCACTCTGGGTTCGGAAACTCATATAGACCATTCCGTATCCTCTTCTTCATTCCTGGTGATATGGCAGCTCCATGGTTACTATAGAAGGGTGGGTAGCCACATAGTCTGCATGAAGCAAGTTGCCTGTTAGTTTCTTAGCATAAACATAAAAAAACAAACTTGGCATAAGAATGCTAGAAAAGCCAGGAGTCCCTTGATTTGTTTCTCCCTTTCTATTATGGGGTAATGTCAGTTTAATGCAGCTTAAAAAAAAAAAAAAATTTCAGCTATAATATTGATTTAAATGTACCATATTATAATGTAGTTAATATTACTGCTGTTTATTATTTTCTTTACTATTTTTACAGTTTTTTTTTTATTAGCGTAATGCAGCTATTCTATCTATTGTCTTTCTCTGCTTAATGCTGTAAGGCATCACAGGCACAGCTAATGATCGGTTTTCCAAGATGGTGAAGTGTAAGCCTTTTAGCTTGCTGCAATGTGATATTGAGTTTCAGAAAGTTAACTCCATCTATTATTGTCTTGGTCTTCCTCTGCATTTTGATGCTTCCATTCTTATGTTATATGCTTTTGCATCCGGTGATGCCGGGTTGATTCTGACCAGGTGGCCACACCAATTAGGTTTTGATTTGCATTAAATCTAAATACATGTGTTATTCCATTCTAAAATCTTTGTTTCTTTTATGGTCTCTTCTTATTATGTTGGCTGCTTTTCTCAAACATCTCATTTCTCATGTCGTTAGTTTTCTACTCTGGTTCTTCTGTTAATGCTCAGGTTTTTCATTAGTAACACAATGTTGGTAAGAAAAAAAATTGCATTTATGATTTGTCTTTTAGTTTCCATTGGTACTGCTGGGTGTTTCAGTATTGGGGACAGTTGATAGGTAACACTGTTGGTTTGCTGGATTCTGGACTTGATATCTCTGTCTATTCTGCCATCTGATGCAGCTGTTTCAGAGTTCAATTCTTAGCATTTCAGGTAAGGTCATGTACTTTAATACACCCTGTCATTTATAATAATTCGTTTAAATAATATTTCAATACCATACTAGAGACAAAATTGGAGACATAATCTTTTTCAAGCGAATGAAAGAAGAAGAAGTATACCGCGATGTAGTTCACTTTTTGTGTTGTGTCTTGTTTTTTTCTCAGTGTTCTGACGATGCAGATTAACTGGTACATTGCCATATGTCTGTGTTGTTGTAATTTGTTCTTTTCTCCTCCCCCCCCCCCCCCCAATCAAGTCTGCCAGATGCCCATAAGTTTCAAGTATTTTCTCCTTCTTCTGAGCCCCGAAGCGGAACCCCTTGTTCTTTTTTTCATCAAGGTTGTCAGTTATTTATAAGTTCCAAGTATAATTATTCTCATAAAATCTACAAAACATCTTACCCCTCTAGTTTTCTTCTGCTGCATTCACCCCAAAAACTATGGCTGGCCGGCTGTGTTGCGGTTTACAGCTAATGTCTGCACTAAATTAGTCACCTTTGAAGACAAGCTAGTGTAGGGGCAGTGGGTCTATGATTTGCTGTCCTAAAAATGGGGTCCCGAAACCCTCATTTCTCTTATCAGACGTCAGGTTTAATTTCTTTCTTTCTTGAAGGACTGCATTGTTCATTTTTCTATCCAACCATCGTATTAACTGCATTTTCCTCAGTCTTCTTCTGGTAAACAGTCTAGTATATTAATATGTATAGGATCTATTTTGTACTTCAACACCCCCTCCCCCTTTCCCTTTTTGTAATCTATCTGCAATTTGACATCATTTTTAATGGTAAACTCTACATCTTTCACAAGGGAAAATGGACAGCAATGGAAATTCTGTGTGGTTCTGCTGGTCCAGGAATGGAGCAACTATGGGATGACCTGTTTGCTGTGAAGCTGGAAAGGTGATTTCCTGATTACTTCTTTCAAAAGGCTACTTTACAATGGCAATTCTTATTCTTTTCTCTCAAGGGCTTTTTCTTCCATCTGATGTTATGACTATTCCAAGATGTCTGTAGCTATTCAACCTGTTTAAGCATTTTTCCATTCATAAAGATCTTGCTCTGTGGTATTTCTTTTCATCACGCTACTCACGGAACCTCTATGAAAACTTACAATCATTTACTTCTATAAATACAGGTTCTAGACATATGTTAGCTAACCCGACCACAAAATTACGCAACCCAGTCCCAGGATGGTGAACAATCTTCTTCTTCGTCTACTTTGTTTACTGGCTGTAAGTTCCGGTGGAAAGTTGTGGTTGTTCGTCCTTTTGGACACTGTTTTTGTGCCAGGACCTGAGTTTTGCATGCACATCCCTTTTACTGATTTATTTGTGTGCAGTTGGTTGTTCCTTGCCGCTCGGGCAGATGCACTCTGACTTCGAAGGAAGATCCCAATTAGTCGACTTCTACAACATGGCTTGTTGAGAAGGCAGTGGGTCTATTTTTATTCACCCCCCCCTCTCCCCCACAGTATCCCTCCATGCCATTGTTTCAGCCCATCCAGCATCATCTCTCTTGGTCTGCCTCTACCCCTTTTTCCACTGATCTTTCCAGTTGTCACGATTTTCTCTACTGTCTCTCTTCTCATTATGTGGCCAAAGAACAGTGTTTGTCTCTTTCTTATTGTTGTATATAGAGATATACTTTCATTTGCTTCTTTCAAACAATCATCGTCAGTTACTCTGGCTGTCCAAGGTATTTGTAACATTCGTCTCAGAAACCACATCTCTGTTGCTTCCAAATTCTTCCTAATTTGTCCTTTACTGCTAAATGTAAAAGGCATTTCTGTCCAACATTTTCAAACTATTGCTTTTAAAATGTGTGTATGGACATTGAAAGCAGGATTGTAAGCTCACTATAGTTTAATACCTTAAACTCAAAATAATCAAATATTCTAAACTCCTGATACTTAACTATTGTCACTTAAAACAAGATAAAGTTAAACAAGATTTAAGCAAAACAAGATTTAACAAATAATAAAAAAAATAAGATACACTGACAATATAATGAACTGCAGCAACAACAACAAATTATACTCATAAAGACATGGAACAAAACATGCTATATAAGATGGAACTATGCATTTATTGTTTTCTTATATTTTTTTTACAGATAAAAAAAACCCTGCAAAAATCACTATTGAAACCAATGGAAAAAACTGGTAAAAAAATTAAGCTCATAAAATTAATACAAAACACAAGGTTACACCATGAGATAGAACACATGATTTACAAAAAAGACAGTTTTACAAATAAATTAATGGAATACATGGTAAACTAAAATTACACTGAATACAGATGGAGTTAACATATATATACAACACACGGTTTTCAAAAATTACAAAAAAATACATTTAAGATTTACAATACTTATATTATATACAGCACAGGGTTTACAAAAATTGCCAACAAAACATGATTTACAAAAATTACAGAACATGGGTTTTACAAAAAAATGAAGCAAAACAGGTTGTGAATTAGAACTTATAAACCCGACACAGGAATATCACTTACAAAAACTATATTGAACACTGCACTGAACACAGTATTTAATAAAAAAGTAAACAGAACATAGCACTTTAAGAAATATGAGGTCTACATACACATATAACATAAAGTTAAACTTACAAAATGTACATAATGACACCTAAGGACCACATATCACAAGACTTGTCATACTTCTCCGGACCTAACACCTCTGGTGCTGTTTGAGGACAAATCAGTCATAACATATTATATTACCACAAACATTAGAAGCTGAAAAATATAATATTTAATAGTACGGTAAATGCATGATGCACAAGCTGACTACCTCAGCACAAACAAATTAACCCTTTCCCCTCGCGAAGCCGGTTGAATCCAATTCCCCATAAATGCCATTTTTCCGACTTGTTTATAGTGACCTGTTCATAAAACGCACAGGTAAAGGCTGAGTTTGCACCTGCGCAAACATTTAGGATTACGGGATATGAATACATTTACTAACAGCATTTAGGAGGGTTTTCCTTTCAGCTAAATGGCTTTTTATTTTAAGGCCAAGTTGATGCCAGATTTGCTTGTAAGTCACAGTGGCAGAGGTCATGGTGTCACAGCATGAGTTCCTGGGGGATATATTCCATTTATTGCTATACCCTGTTAGCATTTATGGATTACTCGTTTCATATATCTTTTTATATTTAGGAGAAAAGAATTGAAATGTGGATAACTATATTTTTTAAATAAATATATTAGTGACCTGTGTAGAAAAAAATGAATTTTAGGGAATTTTTTCTGGAATTCTAATGGGTTGTGACTAATGTTTGTAGTATTCCTGGAGCCAAAAGGTTAAAAGTGGAAAGTGACTTTTCCTCAGAAGGACCTTACTTATAGGCAGCTGTAGTAATGTAGTGGCTAGATTCTTGCCTGCTAGCCAGAGGATCTTGGTTTCAAATCTACATCGAGGAATGTTTTTTTTTTTTAAACTGACCTAAGCTGCCAGACTGACCCAGTCTAAAATGGGTACCTGAATGTATCCTGGGAGGCAAAGGAGGCTGGTGTGATGCTGACCACATTACTGACCAAATACTGGTTGGTCTATAAATTGCTGAAAAGCTGCAGATTTCCTAAACATTTAATCAAACACTTTTACTGCTTTTTCCTTCGTAGAATTCTCTTCTTCCAGGTGCCATTTTTTTCAGCTGTATCATATGGTATGGTTGTTCAATTTTAGCGAAAGCAGCCTTTTTGTTTTCTGTAAAGATCGAGTTCATCAACATATAAATTCTTTTTCTTCTTCTTCTGCTTTCTGAGCCCCTGAGGTCCACTGCTGTGCATCCCCGTGTGGGCTCTGAGGCCTAACTAAGGGACAAAAAAGGAACATTCACTACACACCCCCCCCCCCCCACATCAAGAATGTCGTAAAAGCCGACAAATTAGGGGTGCTTTCTTTGAAATCAGAGTGCATCTGCCGACAGTCTGCATACAATCTGTAAAATTGGCTGTCCTCCAGAGTTTACAGCTGGTGAACGCGAAGAAGAAGAAGAAAAATACTGCAGATTTCATCCATCTCCATTTATCTCTGTGCTCTCCCTCTCTCCAGCTGGTGATTCCTAGGTCTTGACAGTCTGTCTCACAGTCGACCCACATTCAACTCTACAGTGTGAGTTGTTTCTGTCTGTAATTATTGTAATGCAAAAATCCACAGAACTAAGAATGTCAGCAGAATGTTGAATAAGGAATTGAAATCACAGCACTTGGGACACTCCCATAAGTGCTCAGTCCCCATTTTTCAGCAGCAAGTGAAGAGTTCCAATTCCAATGGTAACAGTAACCGTCTGATTGTATATCCGTGTCATTCTTCTCCTGAGTGTTGAGCGTCAACCAGATCCGCTGGTAACTCCTCAAAGTGCCCTTCTCCTCAGACCGTAATGATCTTTCTGCACCTCCATACTGTTCACTCGCTCCCAAAGGCCCTAACAATATCTAACTTGTCATACATCAATTCCCCACCAAGTGATGCAAAGCCAGCCAGTCTATCTGCCTGCTCATTTTCCAAAAACACCCGCATACCCTAGAGAAAATTTCCAAAGGATGCTAACTACCCGGGAAATTTTAAGGTAGAATGTCATCAAAGAGCAATAAACATACCAACATAATAAGGGGTGTAGCAAGGTGTCTGCAGCGACTTCTGTTGTCCTATCTCCTTAGCAAATCCAAAATCTGTTAATTTGAGAAGCCCACTATCTGACTTGTCTGAATACAGCAAATTTTCTGGCTGAAAAATATTTTACAACAATTTCATAGTTAATAAATGAATTGCCACAATTCATCATCATCATCATAAACCATTTCTGTCCTTAAGCTTTGTGGGGAGAAAAAATTTGTGATCATGTGCATGTTGGCTGCCATTGGCTATTGTCATGCTGTGAAGGCATAGTGTTTTTAATGCTGTCATCCATTTTTTTCCGCGACCGTCCTCTTGCTATTTTAGCCGATCTTCTGAGATGTAATGCTTGTGATAGTATTTGATTTTGCTGCATTCTAACGATTATACTGCAGAAATTATATGCCAGTGTTTAACAATAATCTTTCAAATCCAGCTGCGACTCGCTGCAGCCACAGTCGGTGTTCGAAACTAGGCGATTTCCAGGGCTTACCCAGCCTCTAGGAAATGGGTACCAGAGTTGACATTTTGGGGTGAATGAAGGAACATCGCTGTAGCTATGGAGTTACGTGCCGACGGCGACACAGGTGGACAGTTTCTTATCAGCTGTCCGTACTGGTGGCAGAGCACTTAAGGTTTATAACCATGTGCAATGAAGCTTGTTCAAATCTCTCGACTTTACATTTTTAACAATAACCTAATACTAAAACATATGCAAATATAAACTAATAACAAATGTAATTTATTTTAACCTTGTCACCTCAAGAAAGCAGATTCAGTCTTTTAATGACATGATGTTTTCGGCTGTGGTGCTGGTTGCAAGTGACACAATGTACAGACTATGTAGTATCATAATAAACTTATAACGACACCACTTTGCTCTCAGTGACTGCATCAACAGTGCTCCTATTTCTAGGTCAAAGGGAAGGAAATCAGTTATTTCTTTGCTCTGTTTGTATATAGTGATTACTTCCAGTCAGCTTTTTAAGAAAATAACCTTCGCGCAGAAAATAACTATGAAAAATCCATCTTTTAGTCCCCTAAGGGTCACGACGACACAATAGCTAGCAGGTTTGCCTGTCTGCTCTTGGGTCATGGATTTTAACCCTCTGGATTTTTATAAAAACTGATCAAGTCTCTAAATTTCTTCTGCATCTTCCTCTAATTTTTTAGAGAATTAAATCCATGCATTTCTTGTCACTAACATTTTTTTAAAGAATATTTGTCCAGATTTTTTAGGGTTAGGGTTAAATCCTATCTCAAAGCTCTATCATTCATGGATCTGCGTTAGATTTCAGTATGCATTTGTGCATGGATTAGTAAGACAGATTACATCTAAGATACTGGTCTATACCAAACAATTTTTCATTTCACTAACAACTTTGTCAGGGAGGCAGGCTGTCTTGCTGCTAACTTTTAATGTATGCACACACACAAAATTTAATTTATTATCCTCTCAACACATTTACTCTCTCAAAAAAACAATTATTTAATTACATTTTCAGATATAAATCAATTAACACTGAGCTCCGCTTGGTCTAACGACCATTGAGCATCTGAGCTAGCACCCTATTATCTTTTCTTCCTCGTGATCAAGGAGAGGTCATTTATCAGTAAACTACATCCCCGTGTGGGTTCTGTGGCCTCATTATAGGGAAAACAAGAATTGACCCACTGCCTACCCAAAAGCATGTCGTAAGAGTCAACTAATTAGGAGCTTCCCTTGAAGTCAGAGTGCCTCTGCCTAAGGGGCAAGGAACCAACAGTCTGCATACAAATTAGTCAGACCTGTCAAACGGATGCACACACAACACTCTGGTTCTGGAATAGGACTGCAGTCCAGAGCGGACAAACAACCAGAACTTTCCGCCAGAGTTTACAGCTGGTAAACGCGAAGAAGAAGAAACAGAAAACTACAACTTTACCTTCAAATCTCTGTGTGCGATGTTCATGGAATGTAAATGGTCGATTGCCTTGGCAATGTCGTGTATAACCGCAGCTGCCTCTAAAGGAAATTTAAATATACAAACAAGAAAATTAATATTAAATCCACAAAGAAAATCTTGAAGTTAATGATGCATTTTATTGTAATTCTGTAACGTACATCCACTCCCCCCACCAATTTCTCTCCAACATTTCCTTAGTAATAGACTTGTGAGGTTTAAGACCATTACCATATTGTCCAGAACCCTGTAGTTGTTGTTGGTGATGCAGCCTATCCGTAGACTAAGTTCTCAGTCTTGCTAACACTCTTTTCTTCTTCTTAGCGTTCATCATTATCATTCTCATCACTGTCCTGCTGTGCCCTTATGTGTCACATAGGGCTCACAGTCTATTCCTCCATTTTGTTCTTTCCTGTGCAATCAATTAAATATCATGGATGGAATCCAGTCCAGTAACTTTTGGCCTCTCTCACCAACATTCATTTTAGGGTTTCTTTTGGACATCCTCACTTCCTCACTCCCTGTTTTTCCTCTTTTAGAGCTTATATGTTTCCACCTTCTCTTCCTCAGTATACAAACGTAAGCCCAGTAACCACCTTTTTCTATTTCCTACTGGCCATCTAACCTTAATTAACTGTAAAATATCTAATACCTATTATTTTCTTCTACTACCTGGGCAGATTTTGGTGCTTTAGTACTCACTGGCTGTAAACTATGATAGAAAGTTCTAATTGTTCACCTACTTCTGGACTTTGGTCTTGTACTACAGCTGAATGTTGGTCAGTTTTGCACCTAAATGTTAAACAAGACTCTTTTCTTCACCATTCACTGAAAGAAGGTTCTGACTGTTCGTCCACTTCTGGACTTTGGTCTTATTTCAGAACTTTTTTTTAATCTAGCTTATTTGTATGCAGACTGTTGTCTCACAGGCAGATGTGCTCCAGCTTTGAAGGAAACTTTTCTAAGTAGTCACCTCCTACAACATGCTTTTTAGGGGCCCCGAATTCCACAGGGGGGTAACTAGCATTCAAGCACCATCATACCTCTCTGCACATATGGCTTAAGTTTTTAGACAACCTACTAGCTCCTGTATGTGCAGAGGGGAAGAGAACTCTGCACCACAGTCTCTGCAGGCATGTTATCTGAGAACTAGGTTGAACAAATGTTATTTATAACTTTACTAGCTGAAAATCAAACACCAAAATTGCTGCCTTGGAGTGGAGTCACCGTAATCTTATCTTTATCCCAAGGTACGTCGGGCTCTTAAGGCAACGAAACAGCTGATACACTGGCTGGTTCTACCACAGCTACAGATGGTCAAAATGTGTGTCATGCTGACACTGTTAATGGGGAAGATACAGGGAAAGAGAGGGAAAGAAAAGAAGGGGAAGAACGACTGCAGGAGTTTTAAGAGCTGTGTCTAACTGCAGCTAATTAATTTGGGAGTAAGTATTGTTGCAGCTAGGCATGACAGGCACACCAGATTATAAAGCTACTAAGCTACCATGAGTTGAAATATGTTTGCTATATCAAGCATCATGGTGGATTGGGGGAAAAAAAATTAATAGCAGAAAGCAATGTACCGGGAAGGAGGGGCAGGGGCCAACCAACATGAACATGTGCGAAGGATATAAGTGACTCCTTGTATATGAAAATGCATAAGGAGGGTGAGCTGGTGAGAGACTATGAGGACAGCACCCTTCTATAAAGGACCAGCTCCATTCTGCTTCAACTGAACTCTGGTGTATGCAGTGTTTGTCTGTTATCTGCCATTCTCTCGATGTGCCCCACCCACTGCAGTCCATTAGACCTCAAGATACAACAAATCTAAAATGGCTGAAAAAATGTATAAGCATGATTGTGTGTCTTGCCCAAAAGAAACCCTAAAATGATCACTGACAAGAGAGGCCAAAAGTACTGGATTGGATTCCATCCACGATATTGAACTGATTGCACTGGACAGAGCAGAACGGAGGAATAGACTGTGAGACAATGAATGAATGAAAACAGCCTTAATTGTCCACTATAATGTCTCTTTGTCTGCATTTCTTATCTCTCCTGGTGATAGCATATTCTCCAATTCCCCATTTCCTGTCACATGACCACAGAACATCAACACCTGTCTTTTTCTTATAGCCTCAGATAATATTCTACTCTCATCAACCTTTTCCTAGCTGACCAAGCAGACTGTTTTCCACAGGATCATTACAGACAATGAAAGAGTAGACATCTTAGCAAAAACGGAGAGCAATACAGCCATATGAAAGATGCACTTTTGAGGAAAATAAAACCCAGATTAGTATGGTCACGCAAAAATCAGGTCCAGGTGAAAGCCAAAAGTCCAAGCGGACGATTAACCGGGACCTTCCACTGGAATTCACAGCCGGTGATCGATAAAATAAAAAAAAAGTATGGTCAAAAGACCCGAATGAAACATTCCCCATCAAAACTATGATCTCCAAAAACACAATAAACCTCCTCACATAAAAGCAACAGAACACTGTATTCAGACTGTGAACTGGAAACAACAGACTCTGCAGCCAACTGTAAAACAAACAACAACAAACTGTGACAAGTTGTTTATGAGGACAGGCACCACAGAATGATAAACATATGCTACAGACATGCTCTCTACATCCAGTATAAGCAGTGAAGTACCAGGTCTGGTCAGTTTGCATTCCAGTGGAGGATTTGCAACACACTGCAACATTCACAGAGGTCTGTTTGTTGGGTATTCTTTACAGGACACTGCAGAGCCAACCCCAGCATTTTTTGGCTGTTGTGGTTTTTCTAGGCACATTTACATCCATTAGTTTGTCAGTGCTTTCTGGACGGTCGGCTTCTCGATATCACTGTCAAATCCAACCCAAGGATCAAACCCAGCAAACCGGCATTACGAAGCTCATTTGCAACGTCTAAGCCACAGACGACGACCCTTCGCAGAGGCCTGTGGCCTTATCTGAAAATCATTTGCACAGAGAACAAAAAGAAGAAGATGCTTAGCCTTTTCCAGGAAATCCTCTACTTATTCTGGCTGTCCAAGACATCCATAGCATGCATCTCAGAAATAATGACTGAATATTTTTATTTTTTTTAAATCATCAGCTTATTTCCTCTTCTGAGGTTCACTGCTGCAAATAGGACACCATACATTCATTTCTGTGATTAGTCCTCTTTCCAACTGGTGACACCAAAAGTCTGTAGGTCTGCCTGTATATTATCTCTCCGCTGTCTCCTTGGTCTGCCTCCTGGTCTACTCCTATTCAACTCCCGTGTCTGTTATCTGCCGTTCTCTCTCTGTGTCCCAACCATCGCAGTCTATTAGACCTCAAGATAATAATGACTAGTGATGACTTAAAACAGATTATGAATTTCACTGCGGTGTCTTACTCTCCATTCTCTGCTTTTTATCTTTTGATGGGTCCAAAAATGTGTCTTTCAACTGTTCTCAATAGGTTTTCAAAAATCGTGACAAAAAATAATTCAGCATATGTGTACAAACCTCTTTCAGTGAAAGCTAAATTTGCCCTCTCCTGTATCCGTGTAAACAACTCCCCACCTTCCATGCTGAAAATTGAACAAAGCCTCTTGAGCACATATTCAAATAAACTAAAATAAAGGAACCGTCTTATGCCAGTGGCATGGTGGGAATACGCTGCTTGTCATATGTTTACAGACCTGCTGGCATTTCATTGGTGATTTAGTCAACATCATGTCAAAATTTTCAAATGACGTCTAATATTATGTAACATCCCTGTATGGGTTCCTGGAACCTGGAACCTACATTGTGGAAAACAAGAAGAGACCCATTGCCTTCCCAACAAGCATGCTGTTGGTGTTGACTGATTTGGGACTTCCTTCAGAGTCGGAGTACATCTGCTGGTTCTATCCCAATATCTCCCCCCAAACAGACAGTCAAATATTTCAGGGGGTGGTAGATAGGCTGCATGCAGTCGTGGGACCTAGGCTACACTCTCTTGTGGGACGTAGGTAGGTTAGGGTTAGACCCAGTTCTAGATGTTCTGGGGTAGTTAAAAGCATCAGAAAGCTGGAAAACCTGCTCTTACCACCCTCGAAAATATTGGACTGTCCTGTGACGTCATCATGTGAGGGGACATTGGGAAAGCACTTATCTGCCTGAGAGACAAGGAACCAACAGTCTGCACACAAAGAAGCCAGATCTATAAAACAGATGTGCATGCAACACTTAAGTACTGAAACAAGACTAAATTCTGGAATCTGACAAACAATGAGAACTTTACACTGGAGCTTACAGCAGTGAATGCCAATAAAAAGAAGATATTATGCAACATAACATATATCAATGCGGAAACAACAGATAACAACTAAAGAGTTGCACATACTTTCAAGTTACCTGCATTCTATTTATGTTCATAATTTTTTTAAATTATATTTAAACATTATGTAAAAAAAAAAAAAAATGGAAAGATTTACAGGGACACCAAAACAACAAATAGCTGGAAGAAAGGACTCTAAATGTGACACAATGTAAAAGAGGCAGTTATGAAAAACGTCATTAATTTAAAGAAACAAAACTTAAGCCTGCAACAATTTAATAAAACATACATCCCATCATAGGTGTGACAAGCAATATAAGTTCTAAATTGTAAATGACAACACATATAATGATGTAAATATAAGACCACTAGATTTCATTGCCTGGGATAGTGAAAGAAAATCTTATTCTCCCGTCCTCTACCTCATCTTGATCTGCACCGCTGATCTATACACAGGCCTAGGGAAAATAGGGGTCTAACTAAAACCTATATTTATTATCCTGTCTTCTACTTCACAGGTGTGTATGTGTCTGCGACAGCAACAGCGCGTGTGTGAGTGTGTCTGCAATTGTGTATCTGTGATTGTGTGTGTGTTTGTGTGTCTGTGCATGTATGTGTTTGTGCCCACGCGCGTGTGTGTGCGGGTTTGTGTGCCTGCATGTTTGTGTATCTGTGTATGTGTGTCTGTGTGTATCTGTATGTATGAATGTATGTATGTATGTATGTGGAATGTACATGTATGTGTAGGTAGGTATTATGTGGGTGAATGGGGGTGTGTTTATGCGTGTTTGTATGTGAAGGTATGTGGGGGTGTATATATGCGTGTTTAAGTGAGTGGATGGGTATGTGTGTGTGAGTCCGCTACTGTGTGCATGCATTTTATCACCCATGCTTTTGTGTTTTTTCCCCTTGATATTCATAATACGCATATTATCATACGAATATAACATACTTATTGCTTAAAAAAACAACTGCAGTGTGAAAGACGGGCCTGCGTGCCCAATTTGTGACCCTTTTAAAATAAAAGTTTGTTTGTTCATTCTTTATCTCCAGCACTGCCATATCTTTAGTCATTGCCCCGAAGTGCACACAAGGCATCCCCTGTAATTCTGACACCAACAGAGTTCGCAAGTCTCTTTCTCTTGAGAATCGTTTTATTTACACTTTGGGTACTTTAACACCCTCCGGACTGAACTGCCAACACAGTTTCATTTAAACTCCTAGGGGATTGAACTGCTCTCTAGTTTTATCTCAAACCCCTTAGTTATGGCCCCTGGTACTCCACAGGGGGTATTTTTATTCACCTGGCCCACGCGTGTAGACAGTCTGCTGAGAAAACATCGACCTGGCTGCTTCGAGATACCAGCTAAGTGATTTTGTGTATTTGTGTGGTATTGTTTGATTTGTATGTGCTGATAAAGGCTCCATAGCCACAAAGTTCACATTTTGTTTATATTTGTTTTTTGTAAAGCTTGCTAATATACTTTTTGTTCGGTTTTATATCTTTTCTTGATATTCAATAATTTTGCAAACAAATGTTTAGTCTCTCAAACATACAGAAATGTTGTTTCAAGGAAGATAACAACAAATAATAATCTTTTAAAATTACCTTTTCAAGGGAAGTAACAGGAGAAAATAATATTCAAAGGGATATAACTCCAGCAAAATTTTACTGTTACTGACTGTCGCAAAAAGTAAAGAAATGCACAATAACCTGGGCCACCAATGTGACTGTTTAATTAAACATTGTAGTCATAATGGCAAACGAAAATTTTGGGACAAGTTAACATTTCATTTATAATAAACACACAAAATACAGAAAAAGTATGTGATTTATAGTACAGACCATGTGTTTTATTATTGTCTTGTCTTGTCCACAATTGCCTCACAGCGTAGTGGGAATATAGATATCCTTACGTCCTTTTTAGGACGTAATTTTTTGTTATTTGAAGCCCCACTCTGGCTTTTGCCAGGGGCCGCAATATAGGCAGGCCATACATATGGCCAAATGTCTGAACGCGGTTTCTTGGACCTCTCCACGGCGATCCTCATTCACATGGTGGCACTTTGTGTCATCGGATGTTTATCGCTTGTGTGATGTCCTGGTGGGGTAGAAATTCAGTTCAGTTCAGTACAGCGTAGTGGGAAGTCGCAATTTTCTATCCTGGGCCAGGTGTGTTACACGTGTTGTTGTTAGTCCGTGTTGCCTCAGGATCTCTGATATATTGTCTATCCATCGTACTCTCGGTCTGCCTCTTGCTCTAGGGCAGTAGTGCTGTTCGTTGTATGCTCGTAGAGGCAGTTGGTCGGTTTGCATCGTGGCCAAACCACTCTATTTGTTGCTTCTTTATGTATTGCAGGCATGGTGTGGTTCCTACAATTGATCTTATGTTCTCGGTTCGAACTCTGTCTCCCCTTGTGACATTGGCAGCCTTACGTAAGCATCTCATTTTGCACATTATTATTTAGAACTGTAAATCATTAGTATACAAGCATTTTTATTTATGTCCTTTTTCAGGACGTTATTTTTTGTTATTTGAAGCCCCACTCTGGCTTTTGCCAGGGGCCACAATATAGGCAGGCCATAAATATGGCCAATTGTCTGAACGCGGTTTCTGGGACCTCTCCACGGTGATCCTCATCCACATGGTGGCACTTAGTGTCATCGGGTGTTTATCGCTTGTGTGATGTCCTGGTGGGTTAGAAAGTCAGTCGGTCAGTCGACTGTAAATCATTAATCACATAATCAGACTATTCCTTACGTCATTTTTAGGACGTAATTTTTTGTTATTTGAAGCCCCACTCTGGCTTTTGCCAGGGGCCGCAATACAGGCAGGCCATCAATATGGCCAATTGTCAGACTGTAAATCATTCCCAATTATCTAATTTCCGTCCCTTTTAGGATGACATTTTTCATTATTTGAAGCCCTACTCTGGCTCCTGCTAGGGGCCGCAATTTGCCCGGCCATAAATATGGCCTAAAGGCTGAATGCGATTTCTGGGACCTCTACACGGTGATCCTCATGCACATGGTGGCACATTGTGTCATCGGGTGTTTATCGCTTGTATGATGTCCTGGTGGGGTAGAAAGTCAGTCTGTAAATCATTCCACTACCTAGTTATCTCCTTGTGAGATGCAATTTTTCATTATTTGAAGCCCTACTCTGGCTCTTGCCAGGGGATGCAATCTAGCCCGGCCATAAATATAGTCTAATGGTTGAACGCAGTTTCCGGGACATCTCCACTGGTGATCCTCATCCACATGGTGGAATTTTGTGTCATCTGGCAGTTATCGCTTGTGTAATGTCCTGGTGGGGTAAAAGAAGATAGATAGATGTACATCACCTGTCATTTCATATTTAAAACTGCTGATATTTTTTGTCATATAACACCTAGGATGGTATATAAGTTTTGTCAATTGAAAAATAGCATAAAATAATTATAAAGAAACAAGCTTACCATTCCATAACTATAAGAAGACATCGCTGCCCTGAGTATGCGTTCTCATATACATCATGGATTTTCACAATGTGATTGCAGCTCTGGCAGGCTCTCAACTGTAAGTCTACTTCCCGCCTTGCCTTGGGCACATCCTTTAAAACCTGAAAGAAAATGAACGCTTGTCTGGAAAGAGGACGACAACTTGTATACAATATTATGCAACAGAAATCTGCCTCACAGGGACAATCCTTTGTTTACCTATTATCCCCAAATGGAGCACAGGTCTTCAACCAATTCAGGTCAAGTCGTCTTGTCTTTTACTATCATTTGCAGGTCCCCCCATTCATTTTTCCTTCACTTTCTAGTTTCTAATTCCCTTTTCTGTGTGTTTTTGGTCTGTCTTCATTCCTTTGTCCCTGTCTGTTTCAGTGCAATGACATCAATTATACTGTTAGCAGGTTGGAGCAATTCTGTAAGGCAAATTATACAGTGACTGATGGAACCGCAGGTGCACAGCTATGTTAATGTTCCCAGCAGAATAGACACACAGCAAATGTTGATCCAGTTTTGTGATACTATGAGTCAGGTCGCTGTCAGATGTGACTGAGCAACTGCATACCAGTAGTCGGTTCTCTTCCGAATAATGGTCCAAAATTATACCCTAACAGGGCCTCAGTCACATGTAAATTGTGGACCTCTTTTGGGCGACTATACCGCCACTGCCGAGAGTATCTTCCGCGCCGCTACGCGTGGAGTGGGGCTAAACTAAATAGCTGGGACTCACGAGTAAATAAAATGAAGGAAGCTGCAGGAGATGCAGTAGCTGCTGCTCGTGAGTCCCAGCCATCTAGTTTAGCCCCGCTCCGAGCGTAGCGGCGCGGGAAATACTCTCAGTGGTCACATTAACTCAGCGGAAGCTTTTCCACAGTATGCTGTGTAGTTGCCGGAAAGAAGGCCCGCTATTTACATGTGACTGAGACCCTGTTAGGGTAAATTTTCGGCCTCGATAATTTTGGACCGTTATTTGGAGGATAGCCAAGTAGTCAATACCACCCATTCTCTGTTAACACTAAGTGTTGGGCGGAATATACCAAATGTGATCTCCTACACTGTTCTAATGGCCTCGGCCCAAGCAGTGTACTGGGGAGGATAGTAGCCGTATCCTCGGAAGAGGAAATACAACCTAAAAACTTAAAGCTATGGCAGAGCTGATGAGATACCTTGCCTTGGTCGGCAGCTGGTCCTGGAGGGGAGCTCTGACTTATGGACAGAGTACAGCTCTTCTGATCCAGCAGCTTCTGCAGTATACTTTGATCTAAATTCTAACAATTCTAGTGTTACCCTTCCTCTGCAGTAAACAAGGTGTTCGTCTAGTTGCCACAAACAAAAAACTATTAAATTATTGTCATTTAATTAGAGAGATATCCAAATAAATACAAACCCTATTCGGTTTACTAAAGTTACCAAAAAGTTGTTGAAAAAACAAGAAGTTTGCTAGGGTGTACATCCCAGTTTATGCATAATTTATATTTCTGTTTGTATAATTCCCTGTACTGTTTCAATTTCGACATTTCATTTAATTATTTTATTTAATATAGTCAGTTAGCTGTTCACAAGTGACAATGCCCCACTGTTTTTACTTTTACCTTCAGAGCAAACTTCTGTTGAGCTACTTGTGTTTATAGTTTCAAATAAGCGTATACATCCCAGTTTTATAAACAATCTATACTTTTTTGTATATCTGTATTGCATTCAATCAAATTTCGACTATGAATTTTTATATTTTAATTCATTCAATATATTCAGTTTATTATTCCCCACTGAACTGCTTACCTTCAGGGCAAACTTCTGCTGTGTTGATCTACTATAACACACATGCACCTTTCCATTGATACCTAATCCTAAAACTGATCCTGTCAGCCGGTAGTCGTCTGAAATTGGGGTTTTCTTTGGCTGTAATTGCCTGCTCTGTCCATATCCATTCATGTTTATAATGTTGACGCTAACAGAACCAACAACTACAACATCTACAAAACTAATATGACATCCCACTCTCCAACATAAACCGGATGTGGCCACACGGAAGTGATACATCCATCTAAATATAGTTTCTTCCCCCCCCCCCCCCCCTCTCACAGTTTTTTTTGTTTTTATTTTGTCTCATGACGTCTGGCGTGGCGACGACGCTCACAGGCACGGATCCCTAGGGCTCAGACCCCTTAAACCCCCCGCGGGGGGCCCCTTAATTCAGTTTTAGAAATTCGCTTAAACATATCTGTTTTTATTCATTTCATATTATTTCAAAAATATTAGGATATCCGTTTACTATTCTACACCGTATTATTATGCTCTTAATCTAGGTATAAGCCCCTTAGAAAAACATGTCATTCACATTGTCTAGAAAATGTGTAATGTGGGGGCACTCAAGCGAACCACCTCCCCCCTCCACCCTACCTTTTTGTGTAGGCGCGGCAGAGAGAAAACGGAATGTGGCTGCCTAGTTATCTGGATAGTAGGTAATACCTGTTTCGGCTTCTGTGGCTTAGGCGTTGCGAACACGCTTCGTAATGTCGGGGTGCCTGGTTCGATCCCTGCTGCGGACGGTTTGTCTTGCGATGGTTTTGACAGTGGTACTGAGAGCCAACCGTAATGGACGTAAATTTTCCTAGAAAAACCACAACAGCCAGCTGTTGCACGAGAATCACAACGGAGATCTGCAATTTTACTAGTGTTCTTCGATTTCTATACGAGCAAGACTTATAACTTAACGCATCTGGTGTTGGATTTTTTATTCATTTGCAAATGACTTTCTTGCAAATATGGTAGATATCGGTTACAAGCATCCGTGACTATGGTGTACAGACACATAAGCGCTGTCATCAACCCAGAAAGGGCGGCCGTTTTGTGGTGCTCTCTGTACAATGGTGTTGATAGAGCGGGTATCTCAAGCCTCACTTGTAACGATAAAAACATCAACAGAGAAAACACAGAGTTGTTTGGGGATCCTCTTCACTTGCAGCAAAATGTCAAAATGACCTTAATGCATTTAACATTATACATGTAGCATAGAATGCTGTTCACATTTCACTTTTTGATCATCTCGGTGATGAGTTATTGTTGTTATTATTATTATTAATATTTTTATTATTATTCGCCAGCTGTAAAAGTAAAAGTTCTGGTTGTTCATCTATTCTGATCTTCCGTTTGTTCTTAGACTTCGACTTTTTACGTACACATCTGTTTATAGATGTGACTTTTTTTTTTTTTTTTTGCAGACCTTTGATTTTTCTTTTTTCGGGCAGATGCACTCCGACTTCGACTGATGACCTCTAATTAGTCGACTTTCTTCTTCTTCTTCTTCGCGTTCACCAGCTGTACACTCTGGCGTAATGTTCTGGTTATTCGTCCACTTCTGGACTGCAGTCCTGCTCCAGAACCTGAGTGTTGTGTGTGCATCAGTTTTACAGATCTGATTCAATTGAATGCACACTGCTGGTTCCTTGCCTCTCAGCCTATTATTTTTTTTTATTATTATTGTTATTTAGTGGGGGGAATAGGGGCCCTGGAACCCACACGGGGATCATGATTCGATTCAGGGAATCACCGTGGCAAAGTGGTCAGCCGTTTGCTCAGCACTTTGAAAGTTGTGGGTTTGTTACACGACGGCGTCATTCGGTACTCAGTGTGCAGTATTCAGTGAGATATCTGGATGGTCGTCACTGAAGCTACGAAGTTCGTGTTTTATGCAGCACTTTCAGCAGGCGACTGGTCATTGAGTGGAGAGAGACCGAGCCCTATTTAATAGCCCAGAACAATGAAGTAGATTCTCTCGGCTTTCACTTTAACTTTAAATGTAGTGAATTCATTTCTTAGCATTTGTTTGACTACAGTCCTACCGGTTTTCAACACGTGTATTCCCTAGCTTGTATTAAACACGGAAAGTGACTAACAGTGCGTATCTTTGGGTTATTCTAGTTTTCTTGGAAGGGAAGGATTGTCAAGGATACTTGACGTGAACTGCAATGTGACAAGCAAAGGCGCCGGAATGTATAGCCTCTGCCACCCCCCCCCCCCCAATCCCACTTTCCAATAATTGTAGCAGGTCTGATGCCCTTTACCCCTTGAATATGTGCGACGGAAATTATTGAGAGGTTCTCTGTTCGAGAATTTGTTTATGCATTTCCCATTTTTTCAACTATACTAGTCTATTTCTTTGCCATTCAGCGCATCATAATAATAATCATAACAATAAAAGTAAAAAAATCGGGAGATTTCTTTCTTGCAGGACGCCTCATTTGTTCAGACCCACTGTAAAAGACATTTTGTGGGTAGTATCGATACCTTTTTATACACGTTGTAGTAGGTACCGGTACCTTTTTCTATAAAAAAGCGCCTAATTTAAAATTATTGCACGCTTAAACAAGACTCAGCACATTATAAGCCCCCACCTCCCCTCCAGTTTTCCATGTGTTCGCGCCCGGGTTTTCAAGTGTTTACAAGAACGTACATGTAATCCTAATTTTATAGTTCAGGAAGCGATGTTAAGAGATTAGGAATGTAACTTAAAAAACACAGCAAAGAACCCTTTTCCATGCCTGCAGGCGTATTGGGCATATAGGGCTAGGCCTATATTTTATAGACCAATCGGCACTGGGTGGGTGATTGGTCAGCATCACGCCGGTCGCCTTTACATCCCATGACTTTTATCTGGCACCAATTTAAAGTTGGATTGACTTGGCTTCTTCTTCGTTTCTTCTTCGCGTTCACCAGCTGTAAACCTCGAGCAGAAAGTTCTGGTTGTTCATCCACTTCTGGACTGCAGTCCTGTTCCAGAACCTGAGTGTTGCGTGTGTATCTGTTTAACAGATCTGACTCATCTGTATGCAGACTGCTAGTTCTTTGCCTTTCAGGTAGGTGCACTGCGACTTTGAAAGAAGCTCCCAATTAGTCGACTCTTGCGACATGCTTTTGGGTAGGAAGAGGGTCTATTCTGGTTTTCCCTATAACAGCATTACTTCTGTCTTTTCAGTGTTGATTCTCATATTATTTGTTTTACATTCTTCATTCATGGATGTTAGATGTTGTAATTTCATGGCTGTATCTGCTATCAAGGCCTGGTCATCTGCAAAGAGTAATTCGTTGATCTTACTAACATTGTCATTCATGGGCTTGGCATTCTTGCATATACTGTCGATGTAGGTGATAAACAGCAGTGGTGATAAGACACACCCCTGTCTTACTCCAGATGTTACTGTGAATGGATGAGATGTTCCCTGATTTATTCTAACTACACTTCTACAATCCCTGTATAAACTTCTACACACTTCGATGAGGTGTTCGCTTACTCCATATCTTGCTATTACTTTCCATAACAATTGTCTGTCGACTCTGTCAAATGCCTTCTTCTGGTCTACGAATTATATATATATATATATATATATATATATTTAAGATTTTTCTCATTCGTATGCCTCATCTGGCGTTAGTGCCCCCCCCCTCCCCCCTCCATGATTCGCTGGGATTTCGTTTTCTTCGTGATTTTCCGGCAAAGTTCAGCATTGTGATCTCGACAAGGGCACTGGTTAATGAACATTTGTAGTTCCCTAATTCCCGACTTTCTGACTTAATAGGTTAGCAACAAAAGTCTTGGGTAGCATATAAGCCAAAAAAAAAAAAAAAAATTAATTAGTTTGTAACATTTTCCTTGCGCAATTGTTTTCAAATGTTCATTTTCGAAACTACTATATTTGGTTATGTTGGCAAACTAATTTAAAAACAAATAATGTGTTTTTTAAAATTTTCTTGAACATAGCACTGACTGCAGATTACCAGTAAGTTTTATTTGCATGTGAAATTGCTTGTAAAATTTTGTTATTCGAAACTAAACATTCCTTTTGTCTGTTTTATCTGGCTTTCGAGCGTATGAATACAATATGGCCACAGCAGGTCAAGGGAAGTGATGCTATCAAACATCTAGCAAGCTTCAAATATTGATTTCAAACGACGCAGTTGCAGAACATTAACATGTCGAGCACCATAAAACGAAGCATGGACCGAGAAGGATCCCCTGTGAGTAAGAGATCAAGGTCTGGATATGTACCAGATTATGAAATCAGAGACCGAATGAGTCCCGATTTCGATAGACGCGATCATCGAAAGTACGATCCTCGCGACGTACTGCCCCCGCCTGGTCCACCCTATCGCTCGGAGTTTCTGGTTCATGATGGTCCACCACCACCTCTACCACCACCACCTCCAAGGCAGTATGACACTCGCGGTCCCCCACCAGGGCCATATCCAGGCCCTCCTCCTAGATGGCCGCCAGACAACGATTACCGGTCGTTGTACATTGGCGGCATACCCAGTAAAGTGCCAGATCATGCAGTTAGGGAATGTTTAATAGAAAACTACAAACATTTTGGAGAAATGAATGTAAAAGTGACTATGTCTAATGACCAAAGAGTTGCATATCTTAACTTTCGTTACCCAGAAGATGCAAGAGAAGCATTAGCCAAAGGTGCTAAATTCTTGTTTGAGCGAGACTTGAAGATAAACCCAGTTTTTAACAAACGCCGAAATATTAGTCCTAATCGCAGTGTTTTACCTACTATGCCAAGCGGACCACCTGATCAGTTTTACTCAAGCCGGCGCACACCACCCCCGTATGAAAGGAGGCCTCCGCCCCCAGATGGATTTTATGAACCTCGCAGTGATTACCGGCCAGGCCCACCTTCGACGAGTGGCCCAGCATCATCACACGAAGATGACAGAAAAAGTGAAAAGTTTCCATATCACCTTGACCATGTTGACCCAGAATATGATGATAAAGCAACAAGAACTTTATTTGTAGGAAACTTAGATGTTACCATCACAGATTACGATTTGCGAAATATTTTTGGAAAGTTTGGAATGGTTGAAGATGTGGACATTAAGCGGCCAGTTCGCAACAATGGCAATGCATATGCATTTATTAAATACATAAACCTTGATTATGCTCATAGAGCCAAAGTGGAAATGTCTGGAAAGTATATTGGTAGATTTCAATGTAAAATTGGTTATGGCAAAGTAACACCAACCACAGTTGTCTGGGTTGGGGGTTTGGGACCTTGGGTGACAGTCGAGACTCTGGAACGTGAGTTTGACAGATTTGGTGCCATTCAACACATTGAGTGGCCAAGAAATAAAAATTTTGCTTATGTCATTTATGATAGTATTGATGCTGCCCAAGCGGCTTGTCAGCAGATGAGAGGATACCCACTTGGTGGCCCAGAGAGGCGCTTACGCCTTGATTTTGGTGAAAAGGAGCACCTTACCCGTAGCCATAGTTTGCCTGACTATCACTACCCTCCACCAAAAGGTTATACACCTTTGCCTGAGCAGCCACCTGTTCCATGGAGAGGTCCGCCACCTGATGTTACTGATCGCCGTTATGAAGATTGGAAGCGTGCTCAAGTGGACTACAGAGCACCACCTGCTGATACATTTCATGATGCTACTCGAAGGCATGATGATTATCTCTATCCACATGATGCTGAAAGGCGCCGCGAGCGAACACCCGAATATTCCAAAGCTTCTTATGCTGGACAGCGATCACCAGAAAGAAGCAGAGAATACAGAAATGACAGAGCTCAGTCTCGAGAGGATGATCGTTATGTGTCTGAAAGAAGAGATTACAGGGCTGCTAGTCCAGAGGGAGATTATGTCAAACAATGCCGTAGTTTATCAGAGTTGTCTAAATTGCTTCCGGTTGCCTGGAATGGCGCCCTCATCCTGAAAAGTTCATCTTTTGCGACCCGCATGCATGTTGTTGGTGGTGATGTAACTTTAGTGGATACCCTCATGCGAGACCCAACTTCAACAGAATCTCCTGTTTTGAAGATCACACAGCGTCTCCGTCTTGACCAGCCAAAGTTAGATGATGTTGCCAGGCGAATTCAAGCTGCCGGTCCACGGGGTCACTGTATTCTTCTGGCCGTACCAAGCTCTCTCCCAAACTATGAGGATAACGGAGCTGCCATCCAGCAGAGGCCACTGAAAAATCTGGTGACATATCTTAAACAGAAAGAAGCGGCAGGAGTGATCTCTCTTCCACCATTCCCCTTCCAAGGGAAGAAGGATGTTGGCGTTCTCCATGCTTTTCCTCCATGTGATTTTGGTTTTAACTTTTTGAAAAACCGAGCACCCAAACTGTCACCAGAGTCCGCAAAAGAGGATCACCTTGTCATTGTGGTAGTTCATGGTTCTGCTTAAAAAAATGGTCTTTGCATTCACTGATTATCACTAATATTTTTTTTTTTATGAAGAGAAAAATTTTATTCTTGTTTCAGAAGATCCTTGGCATTAGGTATTTATAAGTTCAGTTCAAGAAACTGTATGATGGTAACTTTAGTTTATTATTTGTATATCAGTTAGATAAATAGTCAATTGAACAGAGTTAAGTTATCAATCCTCGGCACTACTCCGAACGGCGACCCTAAGGAACACAATCTGTTGTAACTCTTTAAATGATGACCCTAGGGGATGTAGTCCATTGTTTGTGTAGGTCCACATAATAATTTTCCTTAATATTTGTTGTTGTTTCAGGTTATGGTTAGTTGGAGACAGGGCTAACATTAACCCTAACCTGAAGCCATATTAAATGTTACAGAACATTATTATGTGAGCGTACACAAGAAATTGATTGTGTCCCTTACAGTCGTGTAAACAAACAATAGATTGTGTCCCTTACAGTCGTGTAAACAAACAATAGATTGCGTCCCTTATGGTCCCCTTTCGATTTAGTGCCAAATCCTATTTGTGTAACTAATGACAAATATAGCAACCAATGTATGCATTCAAGGTTATGTGGAGCCAACGTTTCCCCAGCCATTTGGCTATACTCACCTCAAGGAGTGTAAATTTGGAATGAACTGGAAACTGTGGGATATAAAAACTTAATAGTTTATCATTTGTAAATACATACATGTAATAGCCACCGCAGCAGAGGGGAGCACAGTAGTGAGATCCAATGTGTTGGTACTTGTAATCATGTTACAGTGTAAACTCAGCATCAACTGTTATTTTACACAGATCATCACAATAATATATTACATTTCTAAAACAATTAACTGCATTAAAAAAAATTAAGTTACCTTGGAGTTATTATTTATTCCGTAACAGTAACTAGAAGTTAGTAGTATTAAAATGCTATCCTTTGTATTGGAAGTACCAGAAAAAAATTCTTAAATGTTTATTGTATTGTGAGTTTAATATTAGTTCAATATGTAAAAAGTATTGGGTTTAGAATGAATACGTATTATAGTGCAATTGAACAAGTGCTTAATTGTATAGTAATTTGAACGGATGATTACTATTTTAAATGGTTAGAATGTTTGTGCTGTAACTGTTCAGTTATGGACAGCACACATAAATGTTTGATATTTTTGTGAGTAATTGATCAGGTATAGAATACAGATTGCAAACATAATTTGCTATTTTATGAGTAATTCAACAAGTTTAGGATAAAGGTTAAAGTCGTGAAGATCGACTTCATTGTACCTGGTTTTATCCTGAATGACTCGGTCTTTTTCCGCAAAACAGCTAGCCACCTACCGAGAATGTTGTACAATGCATGAACTCTGTAGCTCCGGCAACTATCCCCAGGGATATCCTTAAAATTGCCCGCCTGAGTGATTCAGCCAAGAATCGAACCCACGACCTTCAGAGCGTGAAGCAAACATCTTGACCACATCGCCAGGGAGACCCCCTGATCAAGTATAGAATGTGTACAGCAAACATAATTAATTATTTTGAGTAATTAATCAGGTATGGGGTGACAGCAATCATATTTTTAGAAAAAAAAATTTTTTTTTTCTGAGTAATTAATTGATCAAGTATAGAATGAATACAGCAGACATTATTTGTTGATATTGTTGTAATTGATATGATAGGGAATAAGTACATCAAACATATAGTGTTAGAAAACTTTTGAGGTGGACTGTATTAGGAATATGAGCATATTAAAATGTTCTGGCGATCCTTTAAATGGTGACCCTAGGGGACGCAGTATATTGTGTGTTTACAATGCTTGAAACTGACCGCAGGAGGGGCAGTCATGTGTTTTTTTTTATAGGTTCTCATAATAATGTTCTTTAATATTGCTGGGTTAGGGTTAGCCATAACCCTGACCCTGAACTCAAACAGTATTACCACACAAGATAAACAGTGGATTACGCTCCCTTTCTGTCGCAGTAGACACGCGATGGATTCCGTCCCCTAGGGTTGCTGTTTGAAGAAGTGCTAAAGTTTTTGTTTTGTTTTTAATCAGCACATATAATTAGTACACAAAACATACAGTTTCGTTGTGTTGTGAGTAATTGATTGGGTCATAGAGAGTGCATAGAACAAGTACAAAACTCAAATGTTTCATTGAGCTGTGAGTAGTTAGTTGATCAGTACATGATGCATTACATTGTTTAAAAACAAACAAAAAAGACATAATTGTATGTATGCAAGTAATCCGTATTTCTTCAGTTTTTAAACAATAGACATTTATTTTATTTTGCTGTAAAATATGTTGTTCTTTTAATCATAACATGTTGTCTTGCATAATTTTGGCCTTTATTTTAATCCATACATTTTCTTATGTGTAGGTGTAGTGGATACATTACATTATACATTATGCTGTTTGGTGCAGTACTTTTATATCATTAATTTCTTCTCTGACAAGGAGATAACTCTTATATACATAGTAATTCATCAAATATTTTTCTTATTTTCAGCCAACGCTTTTTCCTAGAAACAATTTTGCTGCGAGTCACCACAAAGTGTCTGTTAAAAAAGGCCTTTAAAAAGAGATTGGTACTACATACCGTTGCATACTGTGATGGGAAAAAGACCTGGTTTTAACTAGCATTCGATTCAAATTCTCATCAGATTCTCGACTCCTAGTTATTATTTGGACTCCTATTCCGAACAGTTCAATAATTAGTTCCCAGCTCCTTCTTCAACCTCAATCTCTAAATATACTGTTAAAAATTATTAGGCAAACATTTGCTACATTGTAATCGTGATTCATTATAGTTTATCTTCTCCTGTTTGACTGCTTTTGATTATTTAAGCCCAGAAAGTTGTGCCAAGGTTTTCTCACTTTTATACCTGCAAGTTTTAAACTAATTCTCTAGCAAGGTAGCAAGGAGCTTGCCATGCATTTAAGGTTCCTGAGTTAGAGTTGGATTATCTTCTCAGCACTCTGGACACATCCATAAGTGCTCATGTTCCCCCTTCAACTTATTCATCAGCGTCAAACGGTTAATAGTGCTAGTTTTATGTTGACAATGTTGGCATGATTCATAGGCTGGCCATCTGCAACTAATGTAGAACCTGCCAATCTACCAGCTCTTTCATTGCCAGCAACACTTGCATCCCTCATACAAATCACACACTTACCTGATGTGCTTTTCTCAGCTCAAGGCATCTTTATCCTTTTGTTACAAAACCCACTCAGTTTCAGTTATTTTAACTTCCTCTACTGAATATTGGTAGTATTTGAACTCAATGTAGATGCGGTGGTTTTTAGACAAGCATTTTGTCTAGAACAGTGTTTCCTAAACTTTTCTTAGTCGCAGCGCTTTTAAAAGTTGAAACTTTTCTATAGCGCCCTAACCTAATTAAAAGTATGACTATTCGTGTATCTTCAAATATTTCGCAGCACCCCTGTGAAGAGGTTGCAGCTTCCCCGGGCTGCCTAGGCGCACATTTTGGGAATCATTGGTCTTGAACAAATTAACTATAAACTGTCTGCTACTGAATTGGTTAAGAATTGAGACTAGTATAATTTCCGGTGAAAATCTTCAGTAGAAAATGCTGCAGCTTCTTCTGTTGGTTATATACAGTAAAATCTTGTTAATCTGAATTCAGAGGGATCCAAAAAATGAGGTGTTTGTTTTAAAAAACAGTTCATGCAGTTAAGAATAAGACATTTCTGCTATGACCATTTTATAAATGTTAACCACATGTTTGTCTGAAGTTTTTATTGAGGTTTTACTGTATTTATTGTGGACATTTCTTAAATTGCGATAATTGAATTAACAGTTGTGAAAAACTGGAAGGATTCATTATTTTCTTCAGTATCATTAAAAAAGAAAAACAAAATCTATTGGCTAACCTAGAATCCAAATAGTATTTTGATACAAATGAGAAAATGTAATTTGTTCAGTTACAGCTTACAAATAAAATGCAGCATATACATTTAGAAAAAAATTCTTGTAATTGAAATTTTTTTTTTTTTTAGCAAACTATGCCTCTTGGTTTCAATCTCTAGTTATATATGATACAATAGATTTGGCCCACTGGCCACCAGTTGAATAGCCCTGGTTTATGAGATTCAAAAAAAAAAATAGAAAGCTAAAATTGAGCCTCCTAGAATTAAAACAGCCTTTTTGTTAAATAATATGTATCATACAGCATTTATATCTTTGCTGTAATTTAATTAGCAGCGGTCAGTTTATAATTCCAGCATACCTGCTTCATTTCAGCAATGGGTGATTTGGCAGCAGGTCGCTTTACGTTGACTGTGACAATAGTATGGGGCGCTGACCGCTCAGGGGCAATGACAAACTACTGAAAATAAAATTTACCTGGCAATACCACAAACTGGCAGCAAAAGCGGTGGTTCCCTGTAGAGGATATGCCACTAACTTATGAATTAAAAAACAGTTGGTGAAATAAATTGCTACAGACAGAAGCTAACAGTAGTAGTAGTTGGACACAAATTGGGTCTGTCCTCAGATGAGCTGAAAGAGTCATCATATTCTTCTTTCTTTCGCCTCAAATAACTTGTCTGTATGAGCAATTTTGTCTTGTATAAATTTCACAGTTGTTGTTAGTACTAGAGCCATGTAATGAGATATTTATTTGAACTTTTTAACTTCTTTAGGCGACCCCTTTTCTTTTAGTTAAAAATTAATAAATATTGTAAACACATTCCGTATGTGATCCACCATCCTTCCCTTCCCATTTAAAACTTTAAAAATGTCTGTAAATACATAGACTTATACACTAAAAAATATGGTATATTTACTTCCAATAAAAACAGCATCGAATAGAAAGTAATACGGTAAAAGCTTTCTGGTACTAAGAGTGTAAATAGACTCAGAACCGAACTTTGTGTTTTTTGTTTTTATTGAACAAGATATGTATGTAAACATTTACACTGCTCAGTGAAGAATTGTGGGGAGTGAAAAATGATTAACACAATTGTTTGATAGCCT